TAAAGCTCTGCCCGCTGCCCGCCTCTGCCCCTTGCTGCCGCTCACTGGCCAAGCGCGTGGCCCCCAGCCATAAAAGCCAAAGTCTTATTTAAGATCGTGAGCTTTTCCCACGGCGCTGCAGGATGCTGCGGCAGGTCCAGGGCTCGCAGGTCCCCGTGGAGACAGGGCGGGAAGGGGCCGGGAGGGAAGGAGCCGGGTGCTGGCAGCAGGGCGGCCGGGAGGAGCATCCCATCCGGCAGCTCAGTCCGGCACCTGAAGGGAAGGGTGGGGATGGTGACATCCTCTCTGGAGGGGGACAGCCGTAACTCACCCACTGCCCATCTGTCAGACTTCTGTGAACAAACGTGTCCAAAAAGCTCTCAGATATCGCAACAGCCCCTGTGGTCCCGGAGTCTCACCTCTCCCTGCTCGAGGGACCGAGCGCTGCAGGCACCTCAGGACGTGACGGAAAGTGGGGCGGGGAAATCATCCCGTCCCTGGGGGTTCCAAAATGTGGTGTCAAGAATCAGTTTTATTTGCTGTACCTGGCAAATTAAGCAGGTTTTCTGGGACCCTAATAACGCTTACTTTCCTGATTTTGCATAAGACAGGTTACTCCGCACAGCATCTTTTGGGGGACTCAGATCTGGCTTCCCAACCAAGCGACCCCTGCCTGAGGGTGTAACACAGTGCCAAGGCCAGAGAGAAAAGTAGCAGAATATGTTCAGTAAATAACCCAGCAAGCTTGGGGAGGGGGCGGGAATCTCATCGAGCGGGAGGTTTTCATGCACAGGGAAGGTTTTGCTTACTGTGAAAAAGCTCTGTTTTTGCAGTGAGATCACTGGAAACAAAGGATTGCTACGAAAATACGAGAGCCGTCAGTGGACATGCAAGCCCTTTGCTTTTGTTTGCATTATTGAGGAGAAGGCAGGAGAGGGGCAGTACCCCACCAGCCGCAGCTCGGCTCTGCCCTGGACGAGGATGGGTCTCCCCAAGGACAGGGGCAGTTCCCAGTGTACCCCCAAAGGTGTGGCGTCCCCGCTGATGTCTGCTTTCCATAACAAAGGACATGTGTGCTCTGCCAGGAAATCCCCAGCCCTGCAGAATCTGGCCCCATCTCCACGAACTCTATTGTCGTTTGTGTGTAGTCTTTTTTTTCACAAAGACAATTTGTAGGAATGGCCATGTGCTGCAGAAGAACAAGATACCCCTAGCACGTTGTGTAATGTCCTGTCCCCTGGCAATGGAGCTGGGCTGAATTTTTCAGCGAACATTTTTTAAGAGTGAGAAAGACAGCCGTAACAGCCTTCAGGCAGACCCTGGTGCAAATTCCTGAGGTTTTTTTCATTGCTTTTACTTCGTTAGGGGAAAGCGCACACAGAAAAATTCAAACACATAGAATCCTAGAATCATAGAATGCTTTGGGTTGGAAGGGACCTTTATAGGTCATCTAGCCCAACCAGTGAGCAGGGACATCTTCAACTGGATCAGGTTGCTCAGAGCCCCATCCAACTTGGCCTTGAATTTTTCTAGGGATGGGGCCTCCAATAGCTCTCTGGGCAACCCGTTCCAGCTTTTCACCACTCTCAGTGTAAAAAATTTCTTCCTTATATTCAGTCTAAATCTACCCTCCCTTAGTTTAAAACCATTACTCTTTGTCCTGTCACAACAGGTCTTGCTGAAAAGATTTCCCCCATCTTTCCTATAGGCCCCCTTCAGGTACTGAAAGGCTGCTGTAAGGGGAAGGGGCCGGGAGGGAAGGAGCCGGGTGCTGGCAGCAGGGCGGCCGGGAGGAGCATCCCATCCGGCAGCTCAGTCCGGCACCTGAAGGGAAGGGTGGGGATGGTGACATCCTCTCTGGAGGGGGACAGCCGTAACTCACCCACTGCCCATCTGTCAGACTTCTGTGAACAAACGTGTCCAAAAAGCTCTCAGATATCGCAACAGCCCCTGTGGTCCCGGAGTCTCACCTCTCCCTGCTCGAGGGACCGAGCGCTGCAGGCACCTCAGGACGTGACGGAAAGTGGGGCGGGGAAATCATCCCGTCCCTGGGGGTTCCAAAATGTGGTGTCAAGAATCAGTTTTATTTGCTGTACCTGGCAAATTAAGCAGGTTTTCTGGGACCCTAATAACGCTTACTTTCCTGATTTTGCATAAGACAGGTTACTCCGCACAGCATCTTTTGGGGGACTCAGATCTGGCTTCCCAACCAAGCGACCCCTGCCTGAGGGTGTAACACAGTGCCAAGGCCAGAGAGAAAAGTAGCAGAATATGTTCAGTAAATAACCCAGCAAGCTTGGGGAGGGGGCGGGAATCTCATCGAGCGGGAGGTTTTCATGCACAGGGAAGGTTTTGCTTACTGTGAAAAAGCTCTGTTTTTGCAGTGAGATCACTGGAAACAAAGGATTGCTACGAAAATACGAGAGCCGTCAGTGGACATGCAAGCCCTTTGCTTTTGTTTGCATTATTGAGGAGAAGGCAGGAGAGGGGCAGTACCCCACCAGCCGCAGCTCGGCTCTGCCCTGGACGAGGATGGGTCTCCCCAAGGACAGGGGCAGTTCCCAGTGTACCCCCAAAGGTGTGGCGTCCCCGCTGATGTCTGCTTTCCATAACAAAGGACATGTGTGCTCTGCCAGGAAATCCCCAGCCCTGCAGAATCTGGCCCCATCTCCACGAACTCTATTGTCGTTTGTGTGTAGTCTTTTTTTTCACAAAGACAATTTGTAGGAATGGCCATGTGCTGCAGAAGAACAAGATACCCCTAGCACGTTGTGTAATGTCCTGTCCCCTGGCAATGGAGCTGGGCTGAATTTTTCAGCGAACATTTTTTAAGAGTGAGAAAGACAGCCGTAACAGCCTTCAGGCAGACCCTGGTGCAAATTCCTGAGGTTTTTTTCATTGCTTTTACTTCGTTAGGGGAAAGCGCACACAGAAAAATTCAAACACATAGAATCCTAGAATCATAGAATGCTTTGGGTTGGAAGGGACCTTTATAGGTCATCTAGCCCAACCAGTGAGCAGGGACATCTTCAACTGGATCAGGTTGCTCAGAGCCCCATCCAACTTGGCCTTGAATTTTTCTAGGGATGGGGCCTCCAATAGCTCTCTGGGCAACCCGTTCCAGCTTTTCACCACTCTCAGTGTAAAAAATTTCTTCCTTATATTCAGTCTAAATCTACCCTCCCTTAGTTTAAAACCATTACTCTTTGTCCTGTCACAACAGGTCTTGCTGAAAAGATTTCCCCCATCTTTCCTATAGGCCCCCTTCAGGTACTGAAAGGCTGCTGTAAGGTCTCCCTGCAGCTTTCTCTTCTGCAGGCTGAACAGACCCAACTCTCTCAGCCTTTCCTCGTAGGAGAGGTGCTCTAGCCCTTGGATCATCTTTGTGGCCCTCCTCCGGACCCGCTCCAACAGCTCCATGTTCTGTGGGGGTCCAGAGCTGGAGTCAGGATCCGGGTGGGTTCTCACCAGAGCAGAGTAGAGGGGCAGAATCACCTCCCTCGACCTGCTGGCCACATTTCTCTTGATGCAGCCCAGTATACGTTTGGCCTTCTGGGCTGTGAGCACACAAAGCTCATGTCCAGCTTTTCATCCACGAGCACCCCCAAGTCCTTCTCGGCAGGGCTGCTCTCAATCCCTTCATCTCCCAGCCTGTATTGATACCTGGGGTTGCCCCGACCCCGGTGCACGACCTTGCACTTTGTCTTGTTGAACCTCATGAAGTTCACACAGGCCCACTTCTCAAGCTTGTCCAGGTCCCTCTGGATGGCATGCTGTCCTTCTGGCATGTCAACTGCACCACTCAGCTTGGTGTCATCTGCAAATTTGCTGAGGGTACACTCGATCTCACTGTTCATGTCATTGATGAAAATATTAAACAGCACCGATCCCAGTACGGACCCATGAGGGACACTGCTTGTCACCGGCATCCATCTGGACATTGAGCTGTTGACCACTACCCTCTTGCTGTGGCATTCCAACCAATTCCTTATCCACTGAACAGTCCACCCATCGAATCTGTATCTCCCCAGTTTAGAGAGAAGGATGTTGTGAGGAACTGTGTTGAATGCTTTACAGAAGTCCAGGTAGATCACATCCATTGCTTTTCCCTTGTCCGTTGACATAGTCCCTCCATCATAGAAGGCCACCAGGTAGGTCAGGCAGGACTTGCCCTTGGTGAAGCCGTGCTGGCTGTCTCGAATCACCTCCCTGCCCTCCGTGTGCCTTAGCATAGCCTCTAGGACGACCTGTTCCATGACCTTCCCAGGCACAGAGGTGAGGCTGACAGGTCAGTAGTTCCCAGGGTCCTACTTTCTACCCTTTTTAAAAATGGGCACATTGTTTCCCTTCTTCCAGTCACCAGGGACTTTGCCTGACTGCCATGACCTTGCAAATATTATGGAGAATGGCTTGGCAACTACATCAGCCAGTTCCCTCAGGACTCTGGGATGCATCTCATCAGGTCCCATAGATTTATGTATATTCAGGTACCTCAGGTGGTCACAAACTCGATCTTCGCTTGCAGTGGGAGGAGCTTCAGCCCCCGGTCCCCATCTTGCAGTCCATTAACTCAGGAGGGGTGAGGAGAGAGGTTGTCCGTGAAGACTGAGGCAAAAAAGGTGTTGAGTACCTCAACCTTCTCCTCATCTGTTGATACTAGGTTGCCATTCTTGTTCATTGGGGGGGTACACTTTCTTTAACCTTCCTTTTCTGGTTGACATACCCATAGAAGCCCTCGTTATTACTCTTTGCATCCCTTGCCAAGCTCAGCTCCAGCTGCGCCTTGGCCCTCCTGAACCCATCCATACACAACCAGGCAGCGTCCCTATACTCTTCCCAGGCCATCTGTCCCGGCTCCCACTGCCTGTGCAGTTCCCTCTTGCCCTTTGGTTTGACCAGCAGGTCTCAATTCAGCCATGCTGGTCTCTTGCCTTCCTTTCCTGATTTCTTACACAGACAGCAACCACGATGTCATGGGACGATTTTATTCACCTGTTCCCATTAAACCCCTTACCACTCACGGATCTGTCAGGAGCCATCCGAATCTGGCCTGATGCCAGGCGCATCCTCCTCTTCTTGCTCTCCAGTACCCAGAGGCTCTCCATGCTGCACAGCAGTTGGAGCCGTGCATTGCGGGCTTCGGGGTATCCCCGGCCATGGACAGCAGAGGAGAGGGGCTGCCCAGCTGCCAGTCAGTTTTTGGAGTGCCTCTCTCTTGGATGAGCCCTTGCTTTTCATTTAGCTAATAGCAGGAGAGAGCTTTCTGGGAAAAATGTAACAATAATACCACTTAAAATGTTGAATTTCAAACGTCTGGGTGGGGATGAAGCCTCTCCCCTGGCTTCAAAGGGCAGTGGGTGATGTTCCTACTATGGGCACTTTGAAGTCAGGGAAAAAAATGGGTTTTTCTGATGCTGCTCTTTGCCTTGTGCTGCTCGTTCTCACAACACAGCCGTGAAGCGTCTCACATCTTGTCTCTAAGAGCCGGAGATCGTCAGGAGGAGCCCTGTGTTACTCGGTATGATTGCACAATCAGAAACCCCATTTGAATTTCACTGGTTTCAACTCATCTTCTGTCAGCTCTTTTTGGAAGCAATAATTGAAGAGGACAGACGTTTGGCCAGGGGGAAGGGTGCGATATGCAGTGCGATCACCACTCCCACACAAAACTGGAAGCAGCAAAACCCAGCCACCCTCTAATGCGGTTTAACGCATCTTTAATCCCTCTTCCTGCTGCGCTTGACTGTTCCACCCCAGTGGTAACAACATTCTCTCACGTTGTGATTTTTTTTAATCAAAACTTTTCTAACTGAAATTTAATTTCCTTTCCTTAAACAGTAGGGTATTTTAGACATGTTTTTCCTGCTGATCAGAAAGGTGCATGAGCCGAAGTTGGACAACTGTTACCTGCCAGCTCCGCTGGCAATCGCTGCCGCCTGCCGCGATGATGTTATGGCGTTCGAGTGCAACAGGGCCTCAGGGAGCCATGTGCCCAGAGGCAATGCCGCCCTCGGACACCACGTGGGGTCCTCTGCTGAGCAGCATTCTTAGGAGATCACTCTCTTTTAATGCACCCATGCAACCGTTAATTTCATAACAGTAAAACTAAAGTTGGACAAGTGGGGTCAGGCATTTGAGTCTGATTTCGTCTCCTCCTTCCCAGCTGCAGAATATTCCAACGGAGGTTTTTGTATGCAAAGGTTTTGGGCTTCTGTATAACTGAGAGGGGAATGTATATAAAGGCTGCAAAGCTAAGATATTAAGGATTTATATTCAAGCTTGAAAGGCTGAGAATGGAGAAAATGCGCATTTGGCAGTGTCATTTGTATATTGGTTCAGCTCTAACTGCAGGGATTAGCCTATTTTTAGACGAGAAAGCAGCTCCTGGATGCTGACAAAGTGGTTGCACTTTGTAATGGGAGAGAGAGTCCCAGATCCCAAGCGCAGGCCTGCTGCCCCGGCAGCCCGCGGGGTCCAGCCCAGCAGAGATGACCCTCACCGGGGCAGGTTCAGCCCTGCAGAGCCCTCGGTGTGGCTTTGCTTCTAACCAGATTAGAAACCAGATGTCAGATGATAATAATGAGATAATCAGCCACAGGACCGTTAACTGAAGGAAATGATAGGTTCCTCGTCATGAGGAGTGTTTACACCAACTTCGAGGTACGGAAATGGGGGTAGTTTGACACAGCCTCATGGTATTGCCCATGTATTAGTTCCCTCTGGGTACATCTATATGCAGGTCCCCCAGACCAGCACGCCTGCTGCAAGCTTTACCAGCCATCGCATGGAGCCCAGCATGGGCTGGAAGCCCCCTTTGCACTGCGGGGCAATAGCTGGCTGCCATTTTAAAGTGTATTTTTCAGGCATGCTCAAATCGGAATACTTCACCTGTTCTATTTCAAAACTATGTTTCTATTTTTAGGAAAAACTTTAAAAATAAAAACAGGCTAAAAGAAAAAAAACAAAACACAGTCTGCTCTGCCCAGCACTATATTTCATTGGATTTTCATCTTGATTGGAGAAGAGCAGGGCATTTTCATTGGCTGTTTTTAACTCATTTTGCCATATTTCAAGGTGGATTTTTTTGTTGTAGCCAGAAAGAAAAGCAGCTGCCTTTTGCTGGAAGAGCCATCAGGGCAGGGTGAGGCTTGGGTTTACAAATACTGAGATGGCGGCGATTGCAGGTTGCTGCTAGAGGGAGAGCTGCCCCTGAGAGCAACGCGCACGCACGCAGCCGCGCAGCCCCCGCTACGTGCCGACCACATCAGGCAGGCCTGGAAAAGGGCACGCTCGCACACCCGGGCTTACACAGCTGGGAGGCAATAGGGTGCAGAGCCGATTTTTATTGTTGCAGGCTGTGAGTGTTGAGGTTAGGGTTGTTTTTAAGCTATTTAAATACTACTTGATGCTATCTCAAGGGGGAATGTCTTGTGCTTTATTTTAAAATTCACCATCTGGAGAGCTTCAGTTGAGGGAAGGCAGGTTGCTTTTGCTTCTTTGGCAATTCAGTGAAAATAACTTGGTGGAGAGTCTCCCAACTCAAATCTCTCACTCCATGAGGTCTGGAAGGAAGGAGGGAGCGAGGGTAAAGGCTGGTTAGCTCAGCACGGAGGGCAGCACCAGGAGAGAGTTTAAAGTCATTACTGCCAATCATCCTGCCAGCCACAGGGAGCACTTTGGCTTAGAAAAACTCATCTTTGGCAGGCACTGGGGGCAGGACCCCCCCAGAAAATCACCCCAAGCAGAAGAAGGGCTCCCGAGCTGTTGGAGTGGTGCTTCCCAGGGCACTGATAAATCGCCCTGTGACAAGACACCCTCAGCCGCCTACGAGGAGGCTCTCGTGGCACCAGCCACCACAAAACATTCCCCTCCAGACAAGGCAGCTGCTATTCATCCCTGGTTTTCCCCACCCAAAGCTTTTCCACGGAAGGACTAGTACCAGCAGTACAATGTGGGCAAAAGTCCTGCTTGCTGCGAAGGAGCTTCCTCCTTTACAGTAAAAGAGCATTTAAAAGTTTCCTGTTGCTCCTGGGAGGTGGAGGGGGTCGATGTAATCTGCAGGCGGTTTCATTGTTTTATTACACATTTTCCGGCCGCCGGCTGCAACAGGAACCCCTGGAGCATGGTGCCCCTCCTGGGCCTCCGCGCCCAGCCCGGCAGCCACTGACGCTGGGAACTTTTGTGTCACCGCAGTGGACTGGAGTGTCATTTTCCCCCCGGTAAAACAGCCCATGGAGAAGGGGGCTGAGCAAAGTCACAGTGCTCCACTCCCAGTGCCGCGGTCCCTGCAGCGCCGGGTACCAGCCCTTTCTGTGCTTCTCCACATGCATGATATTTAAGCCAAGATGTCATAGCCAAAACATCTTTTCCAGCTGCACAATTAACTACGGTCATATATTTGAGCACCAAGAGGAAAAATGCACCTGCTTTCCCATGCACGTCGACCCTGTTCTCAGTAATATAATATATGCATTTATCTACATTCCCACCCGTGTGGTCAGCACCCCCTCCTCGCACAAATGAGCTCATTCCACCAGCTCGCTGTCAGCTCGCAGCCCCACCCTGACTTCCCAAACCCTCCATGACCCACAGGCGCTCGCCCGACACCGACGTGGGAGCGTGAGATGCCCACAACCGAGAAAAAGGTCCTCTGCTCCATCACTTGATGGCCTGGACTGGGAGGGAGCGATGGAGTGTAGAGCTAGGGCTGTGCCGTCAGAAAGTGCCCAGCCGCACAGACCACTAGAAGTGGTCCTCCTCGCCCCAGACCTGGGCTGTTGGAGCTGAGCCGCTGCTGGTGATTTCTTGCCACAAAGATGTCCTTGAAAAAAAAAACAACAGCAAACAAACAAACAAAAAAATACAAAAGCAAGAGTTGCTTGAAAAGCAAAACAAAATAAATAAAGTTGCAACTACTGCCACTCCTTACTCATTGCACCACGAAATTCAGTGTAGGCTTGGATTTGGGGTGAGATTTTTGGTGTATAACCGGTTTCGGGGCCAGGCTTGGGCTGATCCTCGCCCCCCAGGTTCTGGAGGCCCGGTGCTGCGGGATGCTCCTCTCCCGCAACGGGGGGGCGGGGAGGGGGAGCC